CAAAAAGTGGGACCCCTGTCTTACAAGTGGTTATGCAGACTAGGTGGGAAAGCCCTTGGAAATCACCAAGTGTTACACAAGCATAAAAGATTCTCATGGCGTTCAAAGAAGGTGTAGAGTTTCCCCTAATACCTGAAAGTAGAGCATTCCTACAAAACCCGGGGTAAGCCGAAATGACCTAAAGCAGACGCAGTTACCATTTCATAAAAGCAAAAATCCTATTCGTATTTCTTTCTGGAGGCAACTCAGGAACTAGGGTGTGTCTTTCTACAGCAGTGAGAGTGAAATGGCTTAAAGCAAATGTCCAGATACTGTGCGAAATCTGTTCCTCCAAAGAAGCCAAATGAATGGACCAGGGAGATGAAACAACACACTTTGGCAGTGTGTTTTTTTGGGGGGGTGGGGGATAGAATCTGGGCCCTGGATGGTTTCAAAGAAGTGTACCAAGTGGACTGGAGCTCACGTTCTCGAAACCGGGTGCACTCTACCTACCACCTCTAACTCCATCTTTAGAGAACCACAGGTCAAGGACTCAAGGAAACAGGTTATCGGAATAAAAAATGCGTTGATCTTCCTCTTTCTCAGACACTCAGATCCTCTGACAAAGATAAATGTAAGTGCGAAAGGACCTTAAGGCAAGAAAGTGTTTCAAGGCTGACCTGTTGGCACATTTAATTTCTAGTCCTGTACAGGACTTGATGTGCTGCAAATCCAGTTAGGGCTCCATTTCAACTGTTTTCCAAATCAGGGTTGTTACGGTTTAGAACTGAGGGAGCTGCATTCTATTGACATTTGGAAAGTGACACATAGAAGAACCGCATTTTTGTTTGGATGCTGCCCTTTTCGGTGTTTCTTTAAGAATAGGGAGACTAGCATTTCACAGTCCTTGAAAAGTCAGTGCCTATTTCTTCTTGCCTGTAGATGGGAGCTCTATTCATCCTTTGCTCTCCTTGAATTCTTGTAAAATTACCGTCTATTTGGCAGACTTAGCATAATGTATACTGTTCTGGTATCTAATTTGCGGTACTAGGAAACAAAATGTAGTCCACATATGTTGTGAATATATGACTTCTTTGTTGTGTTGGTGGGACTTATAATATGTGTTTGGTCATTGTCCCCATTTCTGGCATAGCGCTCCTAAAAATCTTGGAATTTCACATGAGAACAATAAAGGTGTCTTTTGTTATGTTGATGAGATGACTTTGGGACCTCACCTAAGGATGGCCGACCACGCCATGTGATTAGAAGGTTGAAACTTTGAGTTTTCGCCCCCCTCCCCACCTTTTAAGGGAGGGAAAAGAGGCTAGACGGTAAATCTATTGCCAGTGGCCAGTGATTTAATCACTCAGCCCTACATAATGAAGCCTTCAGAAAAATCCAAAAGGACACGACATGGTGTGGAAAGCTTCCAAGATGGTGAAGGTGTATAAGTGTTGGGACAGTGGTGCACCCCAAGGGCATAGGAGCTCTACACCCCTTCCCGAATACCTGGCCTTCTGCGTCTCTTCCATCTGGCTATTCTTGAGTTATAGCCTTTTACAATAAACCAGTGATCTAGTAACTACAATGTTCTTCTGAGTTCTGTGAGATGCTCTAGAAAATTGACTGAACCTGAAGAGGAGGTCATAGGAACCTCCAATCTATAGCCAGTGGGCCAGAAGTGACCACCTAGGCCTGTGACTGGTGTCTGAAGGAAGGGGCACCCCTGGAGGGCTGATCCCTTAACCCGTGGGAATCTGACTCCATCTCCAGGGAGACAGTGTGAGAAGTAGGTTGAATTGTTGGACACCCAGCTGGTGTTTTAGAGCTGCTTGTTGGTGTGAGAAACTCTCCCAAGCCCACACACTGGAATTGGATGCAGAACCTTATACTTGTTTACAAACGGCTTAGTGTGTCCCAAGGAGATGCTAAGCTCATTTGGGGCAGGAACCACCATGTGTTCCTACTCCATTCTTCCTAGTAGGGTGTTTCCCTAACAACTGTCCCAAAGTACTGCTTGTTTCTTTACTTCTGATTATAAAAAGACTATATACTCACTTTTGGAAATCTGGAAATAGAAAAACAAAAAGAAGAAAATGACAAATTTCCATAATGTTCCTTCCTACTGATAGCTTTTTGGTGGAGGGAGTGGGCACAGATGTTCTATGGCTGAGCCTCCATGTTGTCCAAGAACAGCCATATTTCTCCATTCCCATTGCTCTTAGAACCTGGTTGTGTTCAGGCTTTTCAAACCAATCTTCTTGAGGGAGGCTGGCTGGAGCCAACTCTCCAGGTCTTGTGTCACTGGGCAGTGATTGCCCTAAGGCCTGAGCATGGAACCCAATCCTGGACAATGGGACCAGAGAAGATGTCTGAGGGTGGGTGGGGATTGGTAAAATAGAAGCTTGAGAGGAAATGCCCCTTCCTCACTGGCTGCATGTCTACCATGAGGGAAGACACGGCCAGACTGCAAATGATAGCACGGAGCACAGAAGCACCCATCCATTCTGGGTAAGCCGCCAAACACACTGGCTACAGAGCACACCTCTGGACTTCCTGTTCTGTGTGGTAATGGTGGCCTTTTTATTTTAGTCATTTTTAGTTGCATTTCTGTTACCTGTAGCCAAAATCATCCTACCTATCATGCCTCCTTCTCTCCGTGGTATATTGTGCACACTGCCCTTGTCATAAAGTGGTCCTCAAAAGCAAACCCCACAAGATGGTGATCATCTGTTTGCTTCCGTCTCTTTCTTACAGAGCTCTGAGCTCTCTGAGGAGGTTTTGGTTGGTTCTTATTTGGTTTTTCATTCTGTTTTCCCCTAATGCTCAGATCCTAACACAGTATCTGGCGTGGTGTAGGCACTAAGATTTTGTGGAATGACGAAACTGATGGCTGAATTAATTATTGTGGCTAAAAGCCACCCAATGGTTGTTGGCAAGTATTTACAGAGCATGCTCTTTCCATCCCCAGCTGTTCTCCAGTGAGCTGGGCTCACCCAAGTCACACTGGAGTCTGCATTTGCTGAAGGTAAGTTTTAGGGGAAAAATTATAACATGCTAATCAGACACATCAGATACTAAAACTGATCCTTTGATAGCACTATTAAGAGATGAAAGTAAGGACACCTGGGTGGCTCAGTTGGTTGACCGTCAGACTTCGTCAGACTTCGGCTCAGGTCATGATCTCGTGGTTCACGGGTTCAAACGCGGGTCAGGCTCTGTGCTGACAGCTCAAGGCTGAAGCCTACTTAGGATTCTGTCTCCTTCTCTCTCTGCCCCTACCCCACTTGCACTCTGTCTCTCTCTTTCTCTCTCAGAAATAAAATAAAAATTAAAAAAAAAAAATTTTAATGTTCAGGGCACCTGGGTGGCTTAGTCGGTTAAGCGTCCGACTTTCGCTTAGGTCGTGATCTCGCGGTTCGTGGGTTCGAGCCCCACGTCGGGCTCTGTGCTGACTGCCAGCTCAGAGCCTGGAGCCTATTTCGGAGTCTGTGACTCCCTCTCTCTCTGACACTCCCCTGCTCACGTTGTCTCTCTCTCTCTCTCTCTCCTAGAAATAAATAAAAAAATATTAAAAAAAATTTTTTTAATGTTTAAAAAAAAAGAGAGATGAAGGTAGTGGTGTAACTTCCTTTACTGGATAGCACTAATCCTCAAACACCTGAAATGATGTCCAAAAAACCAAACTGAAAAAATAATTTTTGACAAAGCAGTGTTCATGAATTCATTCCTTTTTGACCCTTCAGTATGGGGGTGCTATTTACTAGTTTGGTAATTGCTGATAATCACTCCTTCTCCTTTCACAACAACAGTCAGGCCAGTGATTACTCGTCACTGTGTGCTTTCCCTGTGAGACTGGAAGCTCTGTGAAGTCAGGGGCCACCTATCCCCTTAGCCCTGAATTCAACGCTTTCTAGGTGTTCCACAAACCACTTGTTGACCGAATGCCCCCAACACTGGGGAAAGGGCAGGGGAGGCAGATTTCACAGTCACACAAAAATCCAAGCTGTCCCTGAGCTGATTCTGTCATTTGGACTGTGAGTGGAGGAAGGAGGAGAAGGAGGGATGATGTGGGGGCAGAGGACGGAAGGTGAAAGTGAAGAAGAGTCCCACCTTCACCCCCACCCCAGCTGCGCTGACAACATGCACTAACACGAAGTGTGCACAAGGGGGCAGGCCAGAGCTGCTGTGAACGCCAACCTGTTGGCTATTTTGATCTTCGGTAATTTTTTTTTTTTTTTAAATAAGAACTGTTCATGCAGAGTTGGTTTGTGAGCACACTTTCTCTTATTAAAAGGCACTGAAAAAGACAAGTCTTTCTTTAACGGTGCCGTCCTGTATTCCCCGCAGCACATTTTAGTCCCTGTTTAAAAAGAACAAAACATGCATTTGAGGGTCCTAGTGTACTTTCTGTGGCCTCTTTGTAGAAGAATTAAATTGGTTCCAGAAAGGAATTAGGAAGTTCAGGATTTCAGGCAACCCATTCCCAGGGCTTGACTTACGCTTCGGTACTGAATCTGAGCTAAGAACGGCAGTTTTTTACTTTTATTTTATTTACATTTTTAAAAAATATTTATTAATTTTTGAGAGACAGAGAGACAGAGCATGAGCAAGGGAGGGCAGAGAGAGAGAGGGAGACACAGAATCCGAAGCAGGCTCCAGGCTCTGAGCTGTCAGCACAGAGCCTGATGCGGGGCTGGAACCCACGAACCACGGGATCATGACCCAAGCCGAAGCCGGCCGCTTAACGGACTGAGGCACCCGGGCGCCCCACAATGGCAGTTTTTAAAACAAAAGCATGGATTCTAGTTCAGGTTTTCTCTCTTCCTAGATGTATGGCTTTGAGTAAGTCATTTAGATCTCTGGAATATATATTGTATATTCCAATATAACATGGAATATATAAAATACATATTCCATATATATATTCCATATATATTTGTTTTTAATTTGAAAAATAAAGAGGCTTATTAGGGCCAACATTTCTCAATCCAATAAAACTATGGATTGCAACTATCTAAAATCTCTATTAGAGGCCATGGAAGTAAGAAGAAGAAAGAGAGAGACACAGATAGAGGAACCAAGTCATGACAAGTGAAAGGAGGAGAAGAGGCAGACGTAAGAGGTTCCAGGCCAAGGAAGATGGGCCTCATTTTGCGAAAACACTGGACTAAGATCTCTAAAGCTCTAAATTCCTTCCATTTTCACTTGGATGTCTTTCAGAGACCCATCTTGCTGCACATCAAAGGCGCTGTCTTCTCCCTATAACCCATCTCTCTTTCCCAGAATCTTTGCCTGCTGATAGCTCACTCACTACATTTTCTTTAAACCCAGACCCGGACCCAGACCTGGACCAAGGCACCCTCGCCCGCCATTGATCTCAGAGCCAAGGTCTGGGGGGGAAGGCAATGAGAAGGTAATAAATACAGAGGCCGTTATACTTGGTGGTGAGTTCCACAGTGGAAAAGAGGGTGAAGGGTGCAGAGAGGGGTGGGGAAGACGCCAGGGTGGGTGGGGGCCCTGGGGCTGGGGAGGGCGTGCCTGAGGAGCGTGGAGAGCTGAAAGAAGGGACATGCCAGACCATCTCTCATTCATTTCTTTTTCATCATCTATGTCCAATCAGCCACGAACTCTGGCTCATCTTGGAACACCTTTTCTATCTCTGACCTTCTTTCATATTTAATGTCTGACCCGGGCTGTTCCCAAGTGCCCAAACTCTTCATCGGCCTCCCCGCTCCCCTCAATTTTCTCACTGCGTCTGCAAACTGTAGCCGACTGATCTTCCTCAACACTAATTCCTGCCGTTATGCCAGTACTCAAAACCTTCGGTGGCTTCTTCATCGAATAATGATGGCCCTCCTCTTCCTTTAAGATCTTCAACGCCAGCCCCATTTTAGCCACTCTGTCTCAGGGCCCAGTGACACTGCTTCTCCACAGTATGAGGAGCCCCCTCTCCGTTCCGGCATCTTCATGCATGCACAGTTCGTCTCCCCATTACCCCTTCCTGATAGGATCCAGCATTTCCGGACGGTTTCCATTTGTTCACATAGTAGCCCTGGCTTAGCACGTCCCTGCTCCTGCTACCATCATTGCTTTGCAAAGAGCATGAGGAGTGACCCAAACCCAGCCAATCAGACTTTTGCCTTCTTGAAGCCTAGGACAGAGATGCTGTCTCCCTTGGATGATGTATGGATGCATGTGAAGCCTGGAACTAAAGAAGAAACTAGATCTTTCCTTGATGACATGGGACACTGAACTTCACAGGTACATGAGCCAATAAAACCCCTTTATTGCTTAAGCAGGTTGAATGGGGGCTTTCTGTTGCTTGCAGTCAAGAGCATCCGAGCAGCCTAAGCCTATTATAGACCAGGCACTGTTCCAGCAAAGTCTTGCTCTCACGAGGCTAACTTAGGATGGGGCTTGGAGGCGCCATACCAAAACACAAAAACAAAGCAAAACAAAAAACCCCACAAGAAATAAACAAACAAAATAATTTTACGTATTGATAAATTCTACAAAGAAAAGAAAATGATAGAGAAAGGCTAAACAGAAGGAAGGCTATTTTAGACTGAGTAGTCAGGAAAGGCTTCTCTGAGGAAATGACATTTTTAAAAAAATTTTTTAAATGTTTTTATTTATTTCTAGGAGAGAGAGAGAGACAGCGTGAGCAGGGGAGGGTCAGAGAGAGAGGGAGTCACAGACTCTGAAACAGGCTCCAGGCTCTGGGCTGGCAGTCAGCACAGAGCCCGATGCGGGGCTCAAACCCACGAACCGTGAGATCATAACCTAAGCGAAAGTCGGACGCTTAACCGACTAAGCCACCCAGGCGCCCCAGGAAATGACATTTAATATTTACTGGGAAACAGGAACTAGCCCTGGGTAGGTGAAGGGGAAGAACATTCTAAAGGGAACTGCCAGTGGGAAAGCCCTGTAGTAGGAAAAAACTTGCAGGATTCCAGAAACGGACAGGAGGCCCTGTGGCTAAGCAAAGGCGCAGAGTAGAACATGGTGACGCTCCTTCCTCTTTCCTTAATTACCTCTCCCTCTTTCTATAAATCTTTTGAAGATTTCAAGGCCTACCTTATGCCGCCTTTGCTTCTTGAACTTTCCCTGACTGAGCTAAGGATCCCTTCTCCTTTGGGATATAGTACTCTACCATCCTTTGAACTTGGAAACTGGAACTTGGAAGGTAGCTGCAGTGTAGCGTGTTTTATGGCCCTCTGACTTTTTTTCTTAGGATTTAACTGACTTTCCTTAATTTGATTCTAGTCTTTGAGAGCATCTTGGGTTTTGATGTGTCTGTCACAGAAGCTTAACGCTAGTCAGCTTAATCGTTGTGAAAATACACACCATGCTTCTAGATTCACTGCCTCCCTGCCAGGATGCATTTGAAATATGAACTGAACCACATGGAGCTGTAATTTTGGGGGTGGGGAGAATCAGGAACAACTTCGGCAATTTTGTACAGTGTAACTCATATTATAATATCATCTTTAATTGCACGATAGGCCAGCTCTACCACTAACTATCCAAATGCATTGGTCATGCTTCCAAAAAAAATCTCTTTGTGGAACCTGGGCCTTCTGAGGAAATGCTCCTTTGTAGTGAAATGTACCTTTGCCACTTGACTGTCCCTTACGTTAGTTGAGTGCAACATTTTAAAACATCTTTTAAAAACACTATGCAATTTAACATTTATTTGAATTCAGTCTTGAATGCTCCATTTGAATTTTATGCACGTGACTGCTTTTTTAGTGATATGATTTGAAAAGAGCAATGGATTGTTAGTACATGTGTGGCCCAAAATTCTTGGCCACTTTTGAGGAAGCCACGACTGTACCCAGGTGCCCATAAAGGAGACAGCCCCTCGGTCCTCTCTCTGGGCCCGGGAACTTGTTGGCAGATTCCTTTCCTGTACTGGATTCAGAGAAAGCAGAGTAGCGCTCCCCTTGGATCAGCTTGCTGCCATGATGACGCTCTTGGCCCCCACTCTCACCCTTAGCATGTGATCTGCCAAGATGGTGGGAATTCATAACCCTCCCAGGCTGGGGGCCCTCCTTTCCCTCTAGACTGGTCCAATGGCTGTCGATTTTACTTTTGCTGGTTAATAGTGCAAAACACATTCGAACTAAATGTGTTTAGTTAAACATGTGTAAAAGAACACATCTTTCAGGATTATTCATTTATCTTTCATCTCGCCTAAAACATTTTTGTACCTCCTTCGGCCCCAGTTTTCTTACCTGTAAAACAAGACCCAGGCCAAATGATTTCTAAGGTCATTTTTAGCAACTACCAGGCGATTAACTAATGACTTTTCATTGGTAAGATGTTATGTGCCTATTTAGGGTACACCCCCCCCCCACCGCACACACATACACTTTGATTCATAGATTTGATTTTGACCATAATTCTGCACATATCATTTCCATACAAGTTTCTTTTAAAAAGGGGGGAAAATCTTCATCTGAGCACTTTGCTCACTTTTTGTGAGCATACACACTTTGTCAATGACTTCGTTACAGCTCTACCAAATTCCTTCAAACATGTCAAAGGCACTAAAAAGGACAACTTGAAAGTTCTAAAGGAAGCAGTTTGCGTTTGGGAGAAAAAAATAGTAAAACAGTATCTGAGTGATTTCTTAAGTGGCAAAATCCCCCTTTTTGCCCTTTCTCTTGAGTTTTAAAAATAGCCTAAATGGAATCCTACTCAACTTTCTACAAGAAAATATACCTTTAGGCTGAGAGACAGCATTAGAAATTTCATCCTAAAGAATTATTTTTGGGGGGAGGGGCTCTGGGGTGGAGTTAGCCTCAAGATAGAGGCTTCTAATTAAATTGCCCTCTCAACCAGAACTGCAGAGTATACGCTATAATCACCACAATTCAGTTTAAATCTGGGACGGAATGATAATTTTGTTAGTTCAGAGGTTTTTAAACTATCGCTCATAACTGCCGGATAGTTTCCGATGACTTTTCAAGGTTCTGCAAGGCGTGTGTATTTGCTGGGGGACCAGGGGATTTTCAGTAAATGAACAAATAGAAAAGATTTCACAGTCTCAGGAAGTTTAAGTAGGTCTCCGATGACGGGGAAGTGCTGTAGTTGTCTTTCTGGCTTTGCAGAGGACAACAAATCCACAAGACATTTTTCGGGAGGAAGCTTTGAATGCCTTTCCTATAACAGGGTTGGATTTGCCTTTCTTCACCTGCAGCCTTTATCCCAGTTCACCTGCAGTAGAGCTTTGGGACGTAAAATCTGATGGTTGGAGTAGACAACGGGCGAGGAGTGAGGTAGGTCGAACCTGTGACCTTGGCCTCCGCCCTTCAAGCTTACGATGCGAGCCAAGCAGTTATAGTATCAAGAGGTTTACACTCCTGGGAGAGCAGACGTTGATGGATAAACACCTGAGTAACATGTAAATTTGAAATTGTAATAAGAGCTCCACCTGAAACATCAAGGTTTCCTGAAAGCACAGAATGCGGGGACTGAGCCTAACCGAACAGTAGGCCAGGCTAAGCTTCCCTGTGAAAGAGTCGTTTAAACTAGAAACTGAGGGATGAGGAAGAAAGTTGACCCCAAGTGTGGGATCAGCATTCCAGTCATGGTCCCCCAGAGGGACCAGTATGTGCAAAGCCCCTGAGGTGGGGAAGAGTTTGGCTCTCTCAAAAAACAGAAACGGAGCTCAATCTGGCTAGAACAGTCGTTTCTAAAGCATGTTTCACAGGACCCTCAGGGCCCCTGAGGCCCTTTCAGGAGTTTGGTAAGGTCACACCTGTATTCAAAATGACACTGAGCTGTTACCTGCTTTTTTCACTGTATTGACATTTGCATGAATGGTGTAAAAGCAATGGTGGGTAAAACTGCTGGCGTCTCACTGATACTAAGGCAATGACACCAAATAGCAGCAGCAGTCACGGTTTTTCAGTGCCACACACTCAGTTTTAAAAAATGTCCGTTCACTTAAGAATGCCCTTGATGAGGTAGTAAAAATCCTTAGTTTTATGTAATCTCGACCCTCGAGTACATGTCTCTTTAGTATTCTGTGTGGCTAGCTGCAGAGTGTAGAAAGCACGTCAGCCGCCTGCTGCAGGAGGAAGGTTGTCTCAAGGAAAGGCACCTGTGTGACTGAGTTGCGAGATGGACTCTTCTTTTTTGTGGAACACCATTTTTACTTGAAAGAATAATCGACGGACAAATTAGGGCTATTGCTACTTGGGTAACTAGCAGACATTTTCTTGAAAATGCATGAAGGGTCCCTATCCCAGGCAAGCAACTGACAGTCTTCGTTGCCAAAGACACAATTAAAGCTTTCACAGGACAGTTTTAGAATTTTGGAAAGCTTGTGTCTGCTACTTTGATCTTGATATCTTCCCAACACTTATAAATACTTTCTAGTAAGATTGATTGTGAGGGCGCCTGGGTGGCTCGGTCGGCCAAGCGTCTGATTTCCGCTGAGGTCATGATCTCAGCGTTCTGAGTTTGAGCCCCGTGTCGGGCTCTGTGCTCAGAGCCCGGAGTCTGCTTTGAATTCTGTGTCTCTGTCTCTCTCTGCCCCTCCCCCCAACTCATGCTCTGTCTGTCTCAAAAATAAATAAACATTAAAAAAAAAAAGATTGATTGTGGTAATATTCCAGGTAGCTGTCAGACGATACAATTCTTTCACAAAAATTTATGAAATACTCCTTTGTGAAAAACTGCATTTTATTTATAAATATAGATACAAAAATTCTAAATAGAATTCAATCAAACACCACGTCAATAAACCAATTAGAGTTTATCCAGGAATGTAAAAGTATTTCAGTCTTGGGAAACTGGTTAATATTTCAGGACTTAAACAAATTAAGGGAGAAAATTGATATGATTTTATCAATAGATGCTTAAAAGGCATTCAATATAGTAGACATTCCTAAGTAAACTTTAACTAAAAGATGACTGTAAGGAAAGTACTTACATATAATAAAAATATTTCCAAAAACCCTTCACTAATAGTCTTCAGGACTACAATGAAACCATTTTATTTAGGAGCGCCTGGCTCCGCCGCTGATTGGACTCTGTCCTCAGTGTGGAACCCGCTTGGGAGTCTCTCTCTCTCTCTCTCTCTCCCCCTCTCCCCCTCCTTGCTCTCTCTCTCTCTCTGCCCCTCTCCCCCTCCTTGCTCTCTCTCTGCCCCTCTCCCCCCACCTTGCTCTCTCTCTCTGCCCCTCTCCCCCCACCTTGCTCTCTCTCTCTCTGCCCCTCTCCCCCCCTTGCTCTCTCTCTCTCTCTGCTCCTCTCTCCCACTTGCTTTCTCTCTCTAAAATAGAAAATAGAAATAAATAAATAAAACCATTTCATTAAAATCAAGATCTAAACAGAAAAGCCTGTTATGACCATTACAGCTTGACTTTGTCTTGGGAGATCTCGTGAATGTAATGAAAAAAGAAAATGAGTAACTAAAATAAACACTTGAAAAGAGAAATAAATACTGTGCATTTTTGCTCATGACATAAAATCAAGAGATCCTAGTGGGGGTTTTTTAAGCATTATAATTAATAAAAAAAATTTAAGAATCAGGATATAACACATAAATTTTTAGTTATTCTAACAATGATCATAAAGAAATGGAAAAGAAAAATATTCTACGTATAAAATAGTGAGCAAAAATATCAGGGAATACAGCTAATAAAACAAATACACCTATATGAATAAAACTGATCTTACTAAGGGCCGCAAAACGAAGTGTCCCCAAATGGAAAGATCTACTGCATCCTGGGTGAGACTAAGCAATATCATAGCATTGTTAATTCTCCCCCTAAATATATAAATATGATGCCACTACAGTTACAATTGCAGGTTTTTTTAATTTAAAAAAAAATTTTTTTTTTAGCATTTATTCAGTTTTGAGAGACAGAGAATGAATGGGGAAGGGGCAGAGAGAGAGGGAGACACAGAATCTGAAACAGGCTCTGGGCCATCAGCACAGAGCCTGATGTGGGGCTCGAACCCACAAACTGTGAGATCATGACCTGAGCCGAAGTCGGATGCCGAACCGACTGAGCCACCGAGGCGCCCCACAATTACAGGGTTTTTTAGTGGGTGGTGGTGAAGGCTAGATAAAATGACTTTAAAGTTCTTAAGGAAAAATAAATACTCAAGAATAACCAAGAAAAGAATAAAAAAAGAACAGGAACGGGGTAATTGTCTTACCATCACATCAGAATATACTATGAAGCCACTTTGAAGTAAGTCTCTTATTAGTATGAGAATGAGAAATGGATCAGTGGAAAAGAGAATCCAGAAGTAGTCTTGTATATGATCACTTAATATACAATATATATCAAAGGTGGTCGTTCAAATTAATGGGGAAATAATAAATTATTTTAAAAAGGAAACCAGTATGGGGCGCCTGGGTGGCTTAGTCGGTTAAGCGTCCGACTTTCGCTCGGGTCATGATCTCGCGGTTCGTGGGTTCAAGCCCCGCGTCGGGCTCTGTGCTGATTGCCAGCTCAGAGCCTGGAGCCTGTTTCAGTCTGTGACTCCCTCTCTCTCTGACCCTCCCCTGCTCACGCTGTCTCTCTCTCTCCTAGAAATAAATAAAAATCATTAAAAAAAAATTAAAAAGGAAACCAGTATAACAGGCTCTCCGTCTGAATTAAAATAACAAAACTCCCATTCATACAAAATTAACGTTCCTCAGAGAGTAAAGTCTTAATGGGAAACAATAAAACAGGACAAAATATTGCAGCAATATCTAGGAGACTGTGCACAATCTACAGACAAAGAAATCTTAAGAAGATTGGAAAACACAGAGACTCTGAAAGAAAAGATCTATTTGATCACATTAAAAATGTATGTGGTAAAAGATATATACACAAAATCAAAATACAAATGACAGATTTGGGAAAAAATACTTGTAGTGGCAAGTATTTGAGTATTTATACAATATGGGAATTAATTACATAAGAATATAGTAATTTATATAAGTAGAAAGAAATTTTAAAAATTGGCAACTCAACAGAAAAATGACCAAAGAATACGAAAAGGCAAGTTAAAGAAACACAAATCCAGAGAGTCAACAAGTGTACAAAAAGATGCTTGAATTTACCATAGTTGGGGAAATGAAAATTAAGTAGGAAAAAAAGACATCACGTCATGATCAGCAGGCCAGTCAGAATTAAAAACAACTACAACATATACCACTGGTGGATATGCGAATTTTATAGCATTCCAGGAAAGAAATCTAGCATTATCCACTAAAATTTAAAATCTACATACTCAGAAGAACAGACAGGCAAAATGTGATATATGCAGACAATGGAATCCTACTCAGATGTAAAAAGGAACACATTCTACATGCAACAAAATGGTTTAATTTCAAAAACATTATGCTGACAAAATCATCCAGACACAAAAGAATCCAAACTGGATGTTTCCATTTATGCCAATTTTAGAATAGGGAAAATTAAGCTATGGTATTAGAATATATGCCTCAGGCTATCTACTTATAGTAGTATCTAGAGAGGCGAAGATTAGAAAACAAATGAATCCTCATTAATACAGAATGAGTGACTTTAGTTCACATCAAGGACTAGTGTACTGTCAGTGAAAACAGAAAAAAATAGAGGTATACCAAGTGGCCTGGAGGAATTTCTTCAAGATATTGTTTATACATGAGGTGCAGAAAAGCATTAACAATGTAATTCCGTGTTTGTGAAGCAATGACCCTACCCCATACCCAATGTGCACATATGCATACGCGTGTGCATGTTGTGCCTGCAACTCATTATAAGGACACGGAGGAAAATTTGGAAACATACATATTAGGTACGTTAATATGGATTACAAGGGAAGGGAATGGAAGGAAAAGGGGGAAAGGGGCATCAAGATAAAAAAAGAGCTAAAAACAACAGTACATGTGATATGATTACGTGTGTGCACTTAAAATTTATATTCAGTGGAGCCTGGGTGGCTCAGCCAGGTAAGTGTCCGATTCTTGATCTTGGCTCAGGTCATGATCCCCGGTTTATGAGTTTGAGCCCCCAGCCGGGCTCTGTGCTGACATCATGGAACCTGTTTAGGATTCTCTCTCTCCCTCTCTCTCTGCCCCTCCCTTGCTTGTGCTCACTTGCTCGCTCTCTCTCTCTCTCTCTCAAAACAAATATTTAAAAATTTTTAATTTAAAAAGTTTTATTTATAGGGGTGCCGGGATGGCTTAGTTGATTGAGCGTCCAACTCTTGGTTTCGGTTCAGGTCATGATCCCAGGTCATGAGACTGAGCCCCAGTCAGCTCTGCACCAAGTATGGAGACTGCTCAAGAGTCTCTCTCCTCCACTCTGTCCCTCTCCCACTTGCATGTGTGTGCTGCCTCTCTCTCTCTTTCTCACTAAAACATCACCATAAAAACACTGATAGAGGATTACTCCAAGAAAACCCTGCCCATCTTGTTGATAATTTGAATTTGATCCTTGGGTTAAACCAGACCTTCCACCTAGGCATTTGGACTGCGTATCAGCCCTTCTTTACTTGAACAGAATGGAACTTTAAAAGTCATCTCCATTGTACAGAGAAGAGACTAAAGCGGGAAAGCGTAATCGACTTGCCCCAACGAACGCGGTGAAGAAGTGCAGACCACGGATAGGAACCAGGCAATCTAACTGCACAAGCCACACGCACGTGTTTGCTAAAGGCCTTCTGAGGGCTTAGCAGACTGGTGAGTGAGAAACTTGCCTTGGGTAAAAAACTGAAGGAAGTGCTGAGAAACTCAGAAAACCAGAGAAATAATATTTGGAAACAAAAATGAAACTGAATGCAAACCCCCACTCCTTGACATTTGAACAAAAATATCAAAATTTTCTTTTTTCTTTTTTAGATTTCTTTAATGCTTATTTATTTTAAGACACACACACACACACACACACACACACACACACACACAGAGTGTGAGTGGGGGAGGGGCAGCGGGAGAGGGAGACACAGAATCTGACTGAGGCAGGCTCCAGGCTCTGAGCTGTCAGCACAGAGCCTGACGCAGGGCTCAAACTCATGAACTGCAAGATCATGACCTGAACCCAAGTTGGACGCGCAACCAACTGAGCCACCCAGGCACCCCTCAGAATTTTCAGTAAAGACAGAACCCGGCCCTGCATTTACATGGCTAGGCCTCACTTTCCGCATCTTAACTCTAGCCCTCTTGGATCTGGTCTTTATTGAAAGCGTGATGTTTTGTTCGTCATAGAGTTTTTTATATTAATTTTGATTTTAAACACATACTGCATCAGAACATTATTTATCCTGATTACGGAGTGTGTGGGTACTCCTTTAAATGTAGTGCCTGAGGTAACTGCCCCACATGTCTCCCCCGTAACTCCACCTCTGCTTGTCTCCATCCTTAGGCAGCCGTGTGAAAATGAGCCAAGCATCGTGTATATCTGAGACTTCGTTTTCTCATCTATGAAGTGGGCATAATTGTTTCCCTGCCCACTTCACAGGGTTGCGGTAAGAAACTAAGACATGAATAAACTAGTACTTGTGAAATGTACACGCGCTTGCTACTGGAGTCGCTCATGAGGGGTCAAGAAGGTGAATTCCCCAGAGTTGGACATGTTGCCATGTGCCTGGCCTGCCTATGCCCATTGCTGGAAAATCCTTCATAATTCTAATCTTTGTTTGGGTGGCTATTTGGCAGGTGCCTTTATCAGTCACGTGGCCCCAAGACACGCCCCTTAAGCTAGAGGAGTGTTTCTCTAACTTGCCTGTACACACAGATCACTGGGGATTTGGTTAAAAACCGTATTTGCATTTGATTGATTTGAGGTGGGGCACAAGTCTGCATCTTTTTTCTTTTTTAATATTTATTTTTGAGAGGGAGAGAGGAGAGGCAGAGAGAGAGAGAGAGAGGAAGAGGATTGAAGTGGGCCTTGCACTGACAGCAGAGAGCCTGACGTGAGTCTTGAACTCATGAACTATGAGATCATGACCTGAGCTGAAGTCAGATGCTTAACTGACTGAGCACCCAGGTGCCCCTTTTTTTATGTTTATTTATTTATGTTGAGAAAGAGAGAGTGTGAGCAGAGGAGGCACAGAGAGAGAGGAGAGAGAGAATCCTATGTGGGCTCAGTCTCACAACCGTGAAATCACGACCTGAGCCCAAAACCAGTCTGTCGCTTAACCGACTGAGCCACCCAGGAGCCCCAAGAGTCTGCATTTCTAACAAGTTCGCAGGTGATGCCCATGTTTCTGGTCTATAGACGTCCCTTGCGTTAGAGCAGTAGGGAGCAGGACAGGTGGTGAATGGCCCGGAAAGACGGGCATGCACCGGAGTGACGAGAGGGCGCTGCGCTCCAGCGTGTGTGTGAGCATTCTAACCCTTACAGCAGCCCTGTGCTCCAGAGGCCGCCAGGATCCACCGCCGGGCACACAGATTTATTGTCTTTGCTTCCAGAGAGAACGCACCCCAAGGGGCCACAGGCGGGAGTTGGAGGAGTTTATTGTAGGATTTGGGCGTGTGCTGGGGGCGAATCTCAGGAGCGGGAGGGGCTGGGAGCCGTCCGGGCACAAGGGCAATGTGATGCTTAGACAGGTTGGTAAGCTTTCTTTTCTCTTTTCTCTCCTCTCCTCTCCTCTCCTCCCCTCCTCTCCTCCCCTCCTCTCCTCTCCTCCCCTCCCCTCCCCGCCTCTCCTCTCCTCTCCTCCCCTCCTCTCCTCTCCTCTCCCCTCCCCTCCCCTCCCCTCCCCTCCTCTCTCTCTTCTCTTCTCTTCTCTCTCTTCTCTTCTCCTCTCTTCTCCTCTCTTCTCCTTTCTCTCTTTCCTTCCTTCCTTCCTCCCTCCCTCCCTCTCTTTCTTTCTCTCCTCCCTTTCTTTTTCTTTTCTTTCTTTCTTTCTTTCTTTCTTTCTTTCTTTCTTTCTTTCTTTCTTTCTTTCTTTCTTTCTTTCTTTCTTTCTCTCTCTCTCTCTCTCTCTCTCTCTCTCTCTCTCTCTTTCTTTCTTTTTTCGGTCCAGGAAAATGAAGGATTACAGTAGATAAAGCTGCCATCATAGATAAGCAGTGGTCCCACGAATTAGCCAGAAGGGGGCGCGTTAATTATGTTCGTGGTCGCTGAGTGTCTTTCTGTCTTGAGTCATCCACAGTCACAGGCGGCCCTGTGGCCGGTTCGCTCCAACATCGGTTCGGAGCGACCTTTTCTGATTATTGTTTTAATTCAGCGAGTGATGTTTCTAGGTTCCCTTGGGAGCGCCGCAGCCAGTGCTCTCAGGACCCTGGCCACCTGGGCCCTGGATCCCAGGACCTGTGTCGCCGGCAGCCTCTCACATTGGAGCAGCGTGTCTGGAATTTTCTAAGCGCCTCCCCAGCGCCCGAGGCCTGCCAGGGCTGGCGGTGCGTCGGTGCAGGGACTGGTGTGGGCCGCAGGCCCGGTGTCCCCCGCCTCGGAGCACTCTCGGACTCTCTACCCGGACCCCGGGGTCGCTCTGACGCCCCGCGGAGCGCGAGAGGACGCCTGTGTCCCTGTGGTCGTCAGCGGGCCCACGTCGGGCCCTGTTCCCGGAGGGCCGCCCGGGAGGGGCTCGTTCCCACCCGCGGATACTGGGTTGCTTTCGCACGACTGTGCGGGACTGAGCTTCCCGAAGGGTCCTGGCACGCTGATCTAGAGCGACTCAAACAGATTTCTGTTTTTGTTTTTTAATGTTCGTCTTTACTTTCTAATGCACGTTTTTGTTTGAAAATTCTTTTTAGCTCTATTGAGGTATAACTGACACAACAGTAAGACGGTTAAAGCGCGCGTTGTGATGCTCGGAGATATACACACATTGTGAAAGGGTCTCCCCTCCCCCCATCTAGCTGGTTAACACATCCATCCCCTGACAGACGCACCGGTTCTTATTTGGTGAGAACATTTAAGTTCTACCGTCTTAGCAAATGTCAGTTATACAGTACTGTGTTATCAACTCCAGTCACCGTGTTATACCTTGTATCTCCAGACCTTAGTCATTTTAGAGCTGAAAGTTTTCCCCTTCTGCCAACCTCCCTATTTCCCCTACCCCCAGCCCCTCTCAACCCTTTGTGTCTGAAATTGACTGTTTTTCAGATTCCACTCAATTGTTTATATACTCACGGCCCCATGAAAAATATTCTCTGGGGCCCCTCCATCCAAGGATTGGACCCATCACGGCCTAGCTGGCAGCTTCTGGGGCCATTATAGACTTTTTTTCAATTATTATCACCCTCCTTATCAAGAGGAAACAGGCTCACAGAGAGGTTAAGCAACTCGCCCATGATTCCGCAGCAGGTGAGTGGGGACGCAGAGCCCCAGGCCCCCGCGAGCATGCTCCGGACCTGGGGCTCTGACCCGTGCACTCCTTTGGCCACTCTGCCGATTCCAAGGGCACCCTGGATGTCCCCGGCCCCATCATCTGTGCTCTGTACGCTGCTGACATTTTTGAACATTCCTCCTGCTTTCCAAATTGCTTAAACGGTCTTTTAATTTTTTTTTTCCTGCATGGTACTTGTAAACCTCATGCATCTTCCATATTTTGCTCTTTCCCTCCTGCCTCCTCCTGACGCTATGTCCTTTGGACCGATACTGATACCCAGTCCAGATTTGTCACAGCATGATGGAAACACTCCGCAGCATTAACTTTGGCTTTGTGTGAACACCAGAGACTGCGAACAACTAAGAATGTTCTCTCAAATGGCACGGGGACTATCCAGATTGCTGGGGGTGGTGCTGAGGTTAGCTGTGAGGAGGAGGCGGCACAGGCATGTGGGCAGGGAAGCAAAATGTGTTAAGTCTTCTATTATGGGGTCAGCCCACCCAGTGTGGTCACCCTTCCCACTGCTGATTTCAAGAACTAGAACCAGAGGGAAGTTGGGCCGTGACTAAGAGGCTCGGTGCCCTCTCAGCAGAGAGAGGTGGTCTTGCTGCTTCCACGACACGAGGCCTATTTTATGTCATTGGAGAAGATTCCAGGACACAAAAGTATTAGGAAGCCGCCTCTGTGTGAGTTCAGTGGTCAATCCACTTTGGAAGCAGTGTCTACAATGGAAAGTGTGTTGACTCTGGAGTCTACTGATACGGGCTGGAATCCCCCCAGCATCGCGGGTATAGTAGCTGTGACCCTGTGAAAGTTACCTAAGCCCTCTGTGCCTCTGTTTCCTCCTGTGAAGGGTGGACATTATAATTCCTTCCTCAAACGACTGCTGTGAGGACTGACTGAGATGATGTACAGTACCTGGTACAGAGTACACTGGTTATTGTTACCCTCCTTTTTATCTTACACTGTCTTACTGAGGAAATCTTAAGATCTTGGGTTGGATCTCCCTGGTGTCACTTCAAAAAGTGGGGTGGGGGTCACCTGGTTAAGCATCCAACTCTTGATTTCAGCTCAGGTCATGATCTCATGGCCTTTGGGTTCAAGCCCCATGTTGGGTTCTGCACTGATGGTATAGAGGCTGCTTGGGATTCTCTGTCTCTGTCTCTCTCTGCTCTTCCCCTGCTTGTGTTCTCTCTCTCTCTCTCTCTCTCAAAATAAGTAAATAAAAATATTTTTTAAAAAGTTAGGGAACTCTCTCCCACTTATATGTAGTTTGTTTTGAAAAACTGGTTACAAATGAACCATCCAAGAATAGGTCCAAACCCTTTGCACCCATTTTCTATGTTCAGCCTCTATCGCCCCTGCAAGTCATGAGGTCCAAAAACTCTGCAGCCTGCTGCATAAAATGGAAGTCCCTTTCACTCATCCAGAACCTTCTCTTTCAGAGTTGACTCTATTCCTAACCTTCATAATTTCCTTGACACTTGAACATCTTCTTTTTCCTCTTTAAACATTTTATTTATCGCTCGCCACAGTGTTTCCAGTAACTTGGAGACTTTCTTTTTTTTTAATGTTTTATTTATTTTTGAGAGAGAGAAAGAGGGGCAGCGTGAGCAGGGGAGGGTCAGAGAGAGAGGGAGACACAGAATCTGAAACAGGTTCCAGGCTCTGAGCTTGCTGTCAGCACAGAGCCCAACGCGGGGCTTGAACCCACGAAGTGTGAGATCATGACCTGAGCCAAAGTCGGAGGCTTAACCGACTGAGCCACCCAGGCGCCCCTCGAAGACTTTCTTAAAGCACACCTGCAAGAATGTTCCAGGGCTGAGCACACCCTCCTGTTTTCTTCCTCCCCCTCAGTGTTTCTATTCTGAAGGCCTGGAGTTTTGTGAGCCATTTAGCGCAGGTTAGTTAGCGGCCATTGCTTTGGGGTGAGATGTATCTAGGCGTGACTCTTATCTCTACTACTCAGCAGTCAGCCACGTGACTCAGTCCCACGTGTAAAGGTAGCTGCCATAAGTCTGGAGGGAGTCAGAGGTGCTCGGCCGGGCGGGAGACCAGACCTGAGAGCTGTGACAGCCCTGGTGGCCGTGCTCACTGGCCAGTCCACCTTGGAGCAATCCTCATCCTTTCTTGCCTACCTCCTGCCAACCTCCTCTTGACCAACTTTCTGGCCTCCCACACTCTCCATTTTGCATACTGTTGCCAACTTCTGTTCCTAAAATGTGACTTTTATCATGCTGTCCTTCTACTCAAAAAAACCCAAAATCTTCAAAAATTCCCCCTTGATGAGTCTTGCGTTTAGAGTCCTGCACAGAATAGCCTCACAATTTCCTCCCTCTCTCTTCTCGGCCTCCTCTGCCTCCACATCCCTGCACCTGTCTTCAAACATCTGAGGCTTCTACAAATATCTGGCAACGCCAGCAGGCCTGCCACCCGGCCCACAGCCTTGGGAGAAATGAACGCCCCCGGGGAAGCAGAGATCTGAACTCTGCCTCCAGGTGTGAATGGGGGTTTAGTTGGGGTAGTTCAAGTCAGAGGAGACGAGAGTGCCTGGCAAGAAAGGACACAATGAAAAGAGATGATCATGGCAGGGACCCAGGGTATGGGCCAAAGAAGTCTGGAGAGGCAGCAATCTGCGGCCTAAGTGGGGCAGCAGGAGGTGGGGATGGGGGTTGCAGGGGTCCCCAGGCCAGCACAGGCCTTTGGGTCATAGCCTGTGCATGGTGGAGGTTCCTTACCATTCTCCAGCAAGGATGTAGCATCCTGTAATGTCCAAAGAAAAGAGCGGTTTTAATGGTTATAAAAGGATTTCATGGTTATTATAGAGAATTGGAAAAATACAGAAAATATCAAAAAAAATAAAGAAGTAAAAATTTAAGGATGCAAATCTTGCGGCCTGGAGATAAACATTGATAAAATTATTGTATTCTCTTCTTATTCTTTCCCTCCCTCTTCACCCTGCCTCCCTGCAATGAGTGCTTACTATATCCAAGGCATTGTTCTAAGACCTCTCTGTTCAATTGATCCTCACAACAGACCTGTGTTGTAGACAGAATAATTTTTTTTTTTTTTGCATTTACAGATGGGGGAGTGTTAAGAAGCTTCTCTAGATCCAGTAAGTGGTAAGTGGCAGCGCTCGGCTTCATACCAGAGGGCGGGCTCTGAGCCCCCAGGCCACATTGCTGCTCGACGGTCACACGGTCAACACAAACACACATGTACGTAGAGGAAGGTAAAATTTTTGTTTAAAATGGAGTCTGGCATGCTGATCTTCTGAACTGGGGATTTCAAAAGAATTTTGGTGGGTGTGTGAAGGGGCTGAGTAGGTGGGGTGTAGGTCGGAAAGTGTGCTGGGGAAGACGAGCCCACAAGAAGGAACGGGACAAGGTGAGCGTGGGGGTGGGGAGGAGGTGATGAGTACAGACACCTTCAGGAGGTGGAAATAACAGGTGATGACTCCATGTGTGTGCCCCTCGGTGTGTGTGTGCATGTGTCCATGTGTGTGTGGTGTGTGTGTGTGTGTGTGTGTGTGTGAAGGAGGTAGTTGAGGGAAAGGACATGATGAGGGAAATCCCGAGGATTCTTTATTGAGCACCTCGGTGGGTAGGAAAGCCCTCACCCGAGGGAGGAAGGTTAGGGGGACCAGGAGGGGATGAGATCCTCTGGGACCTCCTGAGAGGGTGTCGTCCACCAGCTGGACCTGTCACTAGGCAGTTAGACGCACACAGGTGGAAACAAGTGGAATCAGCTGCGTCTCATTCATACTCAAGTCTAAAGATGTGAGGTTCCCTGGATAGGATATTTGAAAGAGGAAACAGCAAAGAAAACTTAGAGACAAGACGTCAGACAGCATGGCAGAGTCTGATGGATTCGAGGGCGGCCAACACACAGAGATCACAGAGCTGCATGGGACGGGGTCAGGAGGAGGACTGGACTCAATGCTTTCCCTCCAAAGCCCCGTTTCTGTGGGCTAATCTCTAGCCACCATTCAAATTCATTTTTGCATGTTCACTCCTGCTTCATCGGTCCCCTTCATTGTCCCAGCCCGGTGTGCTGTCCTCTGAGCCCAATTTATACCCTCACCTCCTCCAGCAAGCCTTCCCAACTGCTCACCACCAGGCCTCCAGCGCTCTGTTTCCTCTTCTCCCCCTGGTCATTTATCTTGTTTCTTCCCAAAATTCCAAGCATCTAAGGCAGAGGCCCTGCCTTCCTTGGAACCCCGCAGTGCCTGATGACACAGTCCTGATTAATTGCTTGTTTATAACCCATAGCATAGAGTCTTTTATTCTACTTGTATAGTTTGGATTTTTAACTATTTTTTTTTAAAGTTTTTTAATGTTTTATTTCTAGGAGAGAGAGGGAGAGACAGCGTGAGCAGGGGAGGGTCAGAGAGAGAGGGAGTCACAGACTGAAACAGGCTCCAGGCTCTGAGCTGGCAGTCAGCACAGAGCCCGACGCGGGGCTCGAACCCACGAACCGCGAGATCATGACCTAAGTGAAAGTCGGACGCTTAACCGACTAAGCCACCCAGGCGCCCCTAGTTTGGATTTTTAAAAGTACACTTTCTTTACACCAGAACCTCCTCTATCCTTTTTAGCAGAGTCCCGGCTTTGTGAATTCTTCCCATGGCCTATTCTTCCCTGTTGGCTTGGCATTTTGCTCCTCGAACACTCCAGAGGCAGCCTGGGAGCTGAGACGCGTCATCTGTTCCTTTGCATTTTCTCACTTCCCCATTGGTCTCTGTCGCCGATGTCCCTCACTCTCAATTTATGACAACCCCTCATCCTAGAACCACTGGTGCGTTCCTTCTGGCATGCCATGCTTGCCTAAACACTTAGGTGTTTGTAAGTACCTATCCACTTAATCTATACGTGTAGTAGGCTCCATGCCCTTCTTGCAGCATGAACTCAGTGATTCCCCACCAGCCCTCTAGGTAACTGCAGTGGCAAGGGTCAGATCTCCACCAAGAGCTGCACAACTTGATCTGGAGTTCCATCGATCCCCATAGCTTCCACGTAGAGCCAGAAAGAATCCTCACCTATATACAACTGTATTTGTGTATGTGTATGTGCATGCGTGTGTATGATGAGCAACACCAAGGATGACGATGATGATGGCATCGGTAATAGTCACTATCATTTTCTGAGCACTTATACGTAGCAGGCACTATGCAAGTGCGTTATAGACATTGCTGCATTCAGTCCTTCCTTCTCTGCTGGCTTCTCTTCCATGCCTCGTGGAATCTCGGGGTTGCTCTTAAATCACTGCAATGCTGGATAGGAATTTTTGGCTTACTCTGTGGAGGGGAGATGGGTGTAGACCTAGAAGCTCAATGATCAGCACAGAAGCTGTGGAGGATATCCATGGTGGCAGCGAAGTGAACTGACCTGATTCTACCTCATCTCTCTCTCTTACCGCCCCTCCTTCTACCACCGCACAGAGACAGACTCGGGTCCTGATGCTACAGTCGATCTGGGGAAGCAATAACACTTGACCTTCCCCTGGAGATCCAGCGCCTTTGGGGAGTGTGTCTGTGACAATATGCCACCAAATAAGCAATGCTTGATGGGATTCTAATTAAATTAAACAGAGAAGACAGAATCTAGGAGGGAAAGTTTCCTTAAAAAGAATCAACCATCTTCCCAGTCTTGCTTTTTAAACTTCCACGCCTGCTTAGGGCTATTACCTTTCTAATTGGAAAGAGGTAAAAACAAAACCAAAAACAAAAACCAATGGTGTGGAGGGAGAGAAATACAAAATAGAGCATTTCCTTATTTCTCTAAATTGTTTGGGGGAAAAAACCACTCTGGTTGAGGAACTAACAAAAACGGGAACTTCGCCGAGCTACAGGATTAGATGGAGGGGACAAGCAGAGACTAAATGTGGTGTTTAGGGTCAGTCAGGTGCCGTGAAACTATGGAGGACTGCCGAGGTTCTGATCCCAAGAGAAGTTAAAAATAAAGGCTTTTAGGGGCGCCTGGATGGCTTAGTCGGTTAAGCGTCCGACTTTCACTTCGGTCATGATCTCACGGTTCGTGGGTTCGAGCCCCGCGTCAGGCTCTGTGCTGACTGCCAGCTGGGAGCCTGGAGCCTGCTTCAGATTCTGTGTCTCCCTCTCTCTCTGACCCTCCCCTGCTCACGCTGTCTCTCTCCTAGAAATAAATAAAAAAATATTAAAAAAAAAAATAAAGGCTTTTAGAACATCCTAGGTCTGGCGGTGCTGTTCCATTTTGAACAGGCACAAGAACACACTCTAAAATAAAAGGTGGCTCGGGAAAGATGACCTACGAGGGAGGGCTGAGGGAGGGAGGTGTGAGGCACAGACTGCCGTAGGCTGGGCACTGGCGTGAGGGGCGGAAAGCCCATGCAGGAGGCAGAGGGGTATTCTGGTTCGTGTCTTAGTCAGCTTGGGCTGCTGTAACAAAATACCGTAGATGGGGTGCTTTACAAAAAAAACCAGCTAAACTTATTTCTTAAAGTTCCGGAGGCTGACGGATTTGGCTTCTGGTGAGAGCTCTCTTCCTGCCTTGTGGATGGCTGTGAGACAGCGAGCTCTCCGGTGTCTCTTCGTCCGAGGAAACTAATCTTTCTGGGCCTGCTGGATCAGGGCCTCATCCTTATAACCTCATTTACCCTTCATTACGTCCAGAAAGGCCCTACTCTGAATTTGGTCACCCTGGGGGTTAGTTAGGACCTAAACACCTGACTTTGGGGTGAGGGGGACACAAACAGATGGATTGCTCGGCAAATGGCTGTCAGTTAAAGGAAAGGGGCCAGTGAGAGGAAATAGACAAGGCACGGCAGGAAAGAAGGAGAGGACTTGTGGGCCAGGGATGGGATTTCTGGGGTCAGGGCGTGGAGAAAGTAGACAGCTTCTCAATAAACCATGAGGCCAGTTTGTCTGATAAATCACGAGGGTCTGGAATTTGAGAAGAGTCAAAAGTTCCCAGAAAAGCCTCCGTGGGGAGTGGAATAAGAAATAATGTGAGGGCTGCCATGCAATACCACGGGGCCAGACGAGCTGAGCTACCGTGATGGCCATCCAGACATCAGCGCCAACTGATGTCAGCCTGGCTACAGTTTAATTTTCTGCATAGTGCTTGAAGGTATCTGATTAAGGTATCATTCCCCGCTGTGGGATGGAAACTCCGTGGGATTCTGGATTTCCTGTGGCTTGCTTGTTGCTATTTCTAAGGCTGAAGGTAGTGCCCGACACAGGAAAAACCGAGGGAGTCTCCGCGAGCTGAATGGACGAAATGACTTTGCAACGGCGCCAGTGAGAAGAAGTATGTGACCTTCCACCCATGACACTCAGGCTCCCGGGATCAAAAGTGTGGAAAGAGAAAAGCTGTCCAGGACTAGCACCGGCAAGGTGGGAATGACAGAGGGGGCCACACGAGGAAGGAGTGGAGTGTGCTGTGGAAATAGTGGTCCACAGAGCCCAGGCCGAAAAGGAGAGAGATGACAAGGACGAAAGGCAGACAGGGAGACAGGGAGGATCAGAGAGGTAAGAAGAGAGGAAGCAGGGAAGGCTGGAAAAGCAGGTTTAGTAGGAACGAGGAGGAGATTGAGATACTCTGGTCAAAAGGAGGAGGCTGCAGCCAGAGTTTGCTGAGTTGGAAAGGTCCAAAAGGTCCAGCGTGTGTCCACAGGTGGCTGCCAACATGACAGGACGTGGAAGGAGGGGGGCTGAGGTTTTGCCCATCAAGGCGCGGTGAAGTGGACGGTGAAGGTGGCAGCCCTTCCTAACCCATTCCGTGAGCGGTAATTCTAGCAGGTGACGCCACTACCACAATAAAGCCCTCTGCGGTCAACTGAGGTTAGAAAGCACGAGTTAGAAAACCGATTCATGTCTTGCAAGATTTCTACAAATTTTTGAAATACTTAAAAAGACTTCAAAGAAAGGTACGGTGTTTCCCAAATCTACCTGACTGATGAATCCTTTTTATTTCTCTCCAGGATTACTCCTAAGGGCCTTCTGTTCCCTGAGAAGAGAGGTCTTCAAAGTATGGTCCCTGGGAAGCACCGTCAGCATTCCCTGGGGACCTGTTAGAAATGCAAATTCTCGGCTCGCATCCCAGGCCTATCTGATCAGAAAGTCGGGGAGGAGGCAGGATTCTGAAGAAGCTCAGCAGGCAGTTCTGATGCATACTCAAAGTCCAGAACCACTGAGCTAGAAAATACTTTCAAGAAGTCTGATTCGTGTTCAAATCTGGGCAAGACTATTCCTTAAGGGGTGAGAGGAGTCATTCGTGCTAATGCTAAGGTCATATGGTATGACTGCAGAAGTTGAAATGGCAAAGAAAAATGTATGTCCAATTGTAATGTGCAAATTAAGACTGCAAAATTGAATACTGGCCTAATTAATAAATCATATCAAGATTTGAATACAAATGACTTTGGATTGCCTATTCCTTTGGATTATTCATCTTGTTATGTCCCTCTGTTAGAATGATTCAAGAGCTGACTTTTTTCCAACATACTTTATCAACTTGTTGGGGGGCGATGAGGGAAAGGAAGAGAAATGAATTTGAAAATTATTTCCTTTCTTTCCCTTTGTCCATCCTTTGACAGAGTTACTGAAAATTATGAGGCCAAAAGGTAGACAGTAATGGAAAGAAGAAAAGGAGATATATCACATGCAAGCTGTATCATCACTCCTTAAGTAACAAAACACTGACCATAAGTTTCTGTGTTATATGTCTGGCTATCTAAACTCATATTTAAAAACCGATTTTAAAAGCAATTATTTGCAAAGAGCTTTATAAAGCAATCAACTCAGGAGCACTTCATCTACTTTTGTAATAAATGGTTGTTGGATTAACACAAATTTATCAGAAAGTATAATTTTCAAGTATTAAAAAGTGTATCTGTCTTATTTCCTAGCAGAATAATGGTGTTTACCACACACTTGTAGTTTGCAAAGAGCTGTCAGAAATAAGCTGGGATATATGAATCCTTCAACGGTACAATGAAAACAAAAGTGTGACTCAAAGGAATCTGGGTGCCTGTTTCCAAAGTAAAATTTGAATCTAGGTCTACATCTTAAAATGCATTTTGACTCGGGATTTTCCTAAAAAGGGGGGAAAAAAGAAACAAAGAAGACCCCTTACACAATTAGACAGAGCTAAATCATTAAACTTTTGAAAGTGCTTTAGCTAGAAATAGTCTTAGTTCCTAACGCATTTAGACATAAAGACATATCAGAAATGAAAGAATAACATTGTTCAAAGATTTGCATGAGCACAAAGGCTTAATTGGAAGAAAAAAATGATAAGAAATGTGTCTGGTTTCTTATGGCAGAAGTTTATAGAACTTCCATTCTTTCACTTACTCAGCTCTGGTTCATTGCCCAGCAATATACTTGACTGGTCAGTTGCCCGTGAATCCTTTGGTCATGAATTCCCACGGATCCTTCTACTAAGTGGGGATGAGTCACACTAGAAGTAGGTCTAAATTAAATTTTTTTTGAAAATTTATTCATTTTTAAGAGAGAGAGTGTGAGTGGGGGAAGGGCAGAGAGAGAGGGAGACACAGAATGCGACGCAGGCGCCAGGCTGAGCTGTCAGCACAGAGCCCGACGCGGGGCTCAAATCCACAAGCAGTGAGATCATGACCTGAGCCAAAGTCAAACACTCAACCGACTGAGCCACCCAGGCGCCCCAAAGTAGGTCTAAGCTAAGACCTGTGTTTCCTCTAGAAAACCACCTGCAGCTCTTAGCTAGTTTAATTGTGCAACATAAGAGTGATCCATTTCTCAATACTATGGACCATTGCGCTATAGTATTGCCAGCATGAAGGAAGGCTTCATTCTGAAATTTTGGCTCTCATTTAGAGAGGTATCTGTTCTCCCAAACTTCATCTGGGCATACTGAAGAAATGTCAGGTCCAAAGTCATTAGACTGCATATTCTAAAACCTGCCTCCTGTTCCCAGAGTTGGAATGGCATTTCTGATCAGAGAGAGGTTGAGATAGTTCATATAGCAGGTGAATTTCTTTCACCATGTGAATTCCTGGAACTCATAAGCAATAGTGCTGTGCTAAGAGTTGGCCCTCATGTATGGAGGAAGGTGATGGCCATCTGGCAAAGCACCTGGACCTTCCTACCTCTTCAGAAAACGATGAGCAATGACTCTGGAGAGGAAACCAGTGCTAAACAGAAATAGGACCAACCGCCATCTCTGTGGGCCAGTCACAATTTCTGAAAATGATTCTGGGGTTACAAATACCTAAGGGCCTGATGGAAATTTTAAAGGATAAGACATTTAATTTTTTTTTCCTGTGCCTTATCTTACACAATTGAACAAAACCCCTGTATACTCATAGTGTTGATTTCTCTTATGTGTAAATCACTCTAGCAGTTACAGAGGAACCCACCATTTAGCACTGTAATCTATTACAATCTCCTCCATTAATTTGTGTTCCTGTGCTTCTTACAGAGCGGGACACAGAGTAAATATTTTTTTTCTTCATTTGATAAGATGGGGAGACTAACGACACCCACCTTATAGGTGGCTGAGAGGTATAGGAGCACTAACATACGTGGAATTCCTAGCACAAGAAAAGTGCTTAATAATTATTAACTACTAGTAGCAGTCATTATTAATAAGAGGCAGTAGTGCCTGGGAGTTAAGAACATAGACGTGGAAGCCTGAGTGCATCACCCAGATCCTGGCTCTGTCACTCCCCAGTATGTGGCCCTGGACAAGTTACTTAATCTCTCTGGGCCTTGATTTCCTCACCTCAAAGATGAGGGTACTAACAGTACCACCTGCTTGGGTGATGAATGAAAATTTGATTAGATACTATATTACAAAGTCTTCGGAAAACAGCCTGGCACATAGGAGGTGTTACACTGGTGTTACTATTCCATTCTTACAACAACCCTCAGGAGTGGTTGAAGCCCAGGTTTAGGGTCACACAGCTAACAGTGGGTCCACAGTTCCAAGCAAGTAGAGGACCCAGCTGATTTCGGTACAAGTGAGTCTCTAGTTGCAGACGACTGTTCCATTCCCTGGTGGCACACGTGTGCCTAAGATGGTTTATCCTCTTCCCTCATATTCCTGATTACTAACTGGCAACCGAGATGCTCTTAACCCACAGCATGGGCCAGCATCCTACATGCTAAAGGTTGGCAGCACTTTCTTGTATTGATCTGCTTAAATGCATAGGAAAACAGATCTCTTTTTCATCTCTGGGGAACTGACAGTGAGTGGGTTTGAACAGACCACAGTGCCTGCTTTCTCTCCCCTTCCTTGGTCCACAGCACAGGGGGAAACGGGTAACTCCGAGGTGTGGATTCTTCCAGTCACCCCTGGTGAGCCTCAGCTGTTTCCGTGAAGGAGCCAAGGGAGGTTTTTAAAGTTGGCTCAGACTTCTTTTCCACTGAGGGTTGGGCAATGGTGAGAAAGTAAGAGAAAGACCAGAGACTAGTCCAAGAATTTGCTTGTGAATGTATACCACTGCCATCTGCTGGATGGAATGGGTATCAGATCTGTTCCGATGTTTCTTTGCTGTGTAATAAGCAAATTCACTGATTCTCAACATGGGTTCGGAACTTAGTGGTTTCATCATTTCGTAGAATCAGTTCTAAATGTCTGCAGGTTTTGGAAATCTCACGACAACTGTGCATAGAAGGGTATCATGTGAGTAACTGAAAGGTAAACTGACGAGGTCTTTGAAGCAATGCCCTATTTTGCATTACTAGCTCCCCAGACCAAATTTAATCTGTTCCCAAATGGTTGATCTAATTGGTTAGAATAAGCCCATAACTATCCGGCAAGGGGTTCTGGCAGAACTCGGACCCTCCAGTCAATGGCAAAAAGTACTTAGAGGGAAGTGAAATCACCATCTGACTTTATTTTGTGTTCTCTGAAATTCTGTATTCATGTATCCAATAATTATTTGTTGAGCAATTACCCTGTGTGCTAGGCACATATTAGGAACTAAGGAAGCAAAGAGAAATAAACTTACTCCCTGTTTAATGATATTAAATGGATATTTTCTGAGTGCTAACTATGTGCCAGGCACATGCATTCCATTACATCTCATCCAGTCCTCAGAACCACCCTAGGATTTATTATTATCTCACTGACGATGGCCTTAAATTATTTCATTTACAAAGACCTTATATTATTATCTCATTTATAGTGACTATCACTGTCTCATTTACAGTTCAGAAAACTGAAGCTTAGGGAAATGAAGTAACTTACACTAGATCATACAGTTAGAGCTGGAGTGAGATTTGAATGTGGGTAGTGGGAGTGGGTGGGTGGTGGAGAGAAGGGTTGACAACATGAAGTAATGTAGATGTTTTTTTCTCATGTAGAGCATGTGGGTCTTTCATTTGACACACATTTTCTGTCCCATTAGCACAGAATCCCAGGTAAGAAAAAGTGCCACACGACACTATGTAATGTAGCAGCAGATGCTTTGGGAAGATTGATCAGGAAGAAGAGCCCCTCCTCTAGCAAGCATCTGAAATCTATCTAGTTAACATTCTCTTCCGTTCTTAATTCTTCTTAACAGTGGCCTCCGTGCCGACAGCAAGACCTGAATTATTGTCGGTTCTCATTGAATGGAAAACAAACCCACATTTCGGCCCGCATGACAGATATGGGAGAGTGGATGGTTGGCTCAGCACGAGCTAGGGAGCGATTCAGATATATGATCACAACAACCTCAAATCGCTTTTCTACTCTTGTGTAAGAGTAGAGTAGGTGCAGGTGCTGGTGATGAGGACAGCAACAGGCGAGGGAAGGATGAACGGAAGCTGGGGGCAGAGAAGAAAAACGTTCTGTGTCAAGTGCCTATGAATGTGCTCAAACAGTATCTAATGGACAGAAAGAACTAGAAGTGTAGGCAGGACAGTAGAGTAGCTAATGGTGGGCAGGGATTTGTAGGCAGCCTGCTGGGCTTGAACCTCTGCTATGCCAGTAGCCTAGACCTTGACCTCAGGCAAATCACAGAACCTTTCTATTTCTTAGTTCGTGCACCTGTAAGATGGGGTTGATTCACAGTGCTGTTTGGGGGGTTTAAGGAGTCTAGACTACCCTCCACTGTTTGCAGCAAGGAACCAGATATTTGGACGGATCCTTTAGAAAAATTGCCCTTTAGGCTTGCTTGATGCTACATATTTACACATCAGTTTGCTCTACATGCTCATATTTTGCCTCTCCACAATCCTATAAGGCAGGTTGGAGTTATTATCATTCCCATATTTCTAGAAGAAATGGATCTCCATATGTTTGGTTGAAATGAAGATGTTTTTCCAAGCAGAGCCTGCCCTCAGGGCCACCCACATGAGAACCACCAAAAAAAAAAAAAAGGGGGGGGGAAGAAAAAAAAGCATCCT